CCTGCTGACCTGCACAGTGGGCACAGTATGCCTCAAAGCTGAGAACAATAACACTTTCCTCCCAATTAGTGCGATTCATTAATCTCCAGAGAAATACAACAACAGTTCACGAGCCTTTATTTCTTCCATCTCGCTCACATTATGTTTTATTCACTAGTAGTTTTTGCAAGATTCAAAATAATTTCAAGTGTTTTCATTTTCCCCACATTCCTTAAAATACAGGAAGCAAAACCACAGTGATGTATTCATACCGGGTGTCCGCTTACTAGGAGCTCCTTAAGGAGTTTGATAATACCTAATTTTGCTATCTACTTTATCGTAATAACATTTTATAAACACTCAGAAATCAAATTATCCACATTTCGTTACAACACATGCTTAACTGTAACATGGTGAAGTCGGTTCTCAGCAGCTTTCCCCTTCTTTGCTCGTGAAAGCAGAGTGGTTAAATAGCAGGATATTTTTCCTTCCAAGACACAGCATGGAGAAACAGTTGAAACATACATCTTCATCGAAAATTCAAACATAGAAAAGCCGCAAAAATGCTAATGTTTTCCAAAGATTAAAAACAAGTCTATATTCTAAATCTCATAGGCTACGTGAGCATTGCTTAAAAATGAAAAAATATTTGTAATGAAATGGCGCTTGAGTGATTTTAAGCAGTAATTCTTCCAGGAATTTACTGGAAGAAAAAAAATCAGAAAAAATTATACCTCAAAAAAGGTTGCTGTTCATAAGGCCAACTGACCTCTCCTCCTACAATTTTTTTTTTTATTCTCAGTTATGTTGCCTGCAGGTAACTTAGTAAGCAGCTGATGAATTTTTCACCACTATCTATTCTATTCCTGATATTATCCTACTGTTAACTTGGCCTTTCCTGTCCACATAGGTAATCTGTGTATTGACTCTTGTACTTTGGTTTCAGCAATTTAAGGCTAGAAACTATAGTTTTGTTATGAATAGGTGTGGCAGCTGAGACCCCAAGGCCTTAATTCTTGATTTGGATCCTGGAGATCAGTAATAGCACAAAAACATAATAATATTAAATTCATTACAAAAACCTTAAAAATTAATCTATATCTACCTAAAACAAACAAAAAAATTCACTTCATAAAGATTACACTATATAACTTGCTCTATCGAGCAACACAGCAACATCTCGCACACAAACCTGGAGCATTTACACAACGTATTTACAGCAAAGACCTTCAGTTTACTTTAATAGTGGATTCCTGAGCTTCCTTCCCCTTACATTTCAGAAATTTCAGAACTTTTTGCAATAGAACTTTAGCTCATATCTTCCCATCCAGCACCAAAGTGTACAGGTCAAACCTTTGTAACTGCAGATCAGCCAATCGCTATGTTATTACAAAAACAAGCTGTTCCTATAAGCAACTGTCTCAACTCTTGACCTCCCCTGGCACAGCAGAATGATGCTGTTCGGCTGACAGAGATCTTCAACACCTGCTGAGAAGGGTCTTCTTTATCACCTCAGACACATCCTTTTGCCTAAACAAACATCTGAACAATCAAAAAGATAATTATGAAGAAAACTAGATAAAAGAAATGGCATAGGTACAGTTAAAACACTATGCAGACAACAGAGGAAATCCTAATCCAGAAAACACATAAAAAGGTCTTAAAAAATATATCAAATAAAAATGAGGCACCTGCAAAAAAACTCACCTCTCACCTAAAAATGGATATTTGTGCTTAAATATCTTGCAAATTTTCAGTAAGAAGTGACTGTAAGATGATATAATTTGAAATTCTACTTGCAATCAAGCATAGTTTAGCATGGCTTTAGAAAAACTAGAAGAAAACTTGAAGAAGCAAATAAATATAGACATAAAAGTGGTTATGATTTAAGAAGAGAGACTGAAGGACCTACACTTATGAGCATAAATGTCAGACAGAATATATCCACCCATGCTTTTGGTGATGTCTTATCCTTTAACGGAGACTGTTCTGGACACCACAGTTATATTTGTTTTGGCTATTGAGCAAAAAAAATTAATACATGCTCTACTTTATAAAATGAAAGAACCTAGAAAATATTTCATCCTACAAATATTTACAGGCGATTGTGTTTAAGTTAAGGGAATTATTCCATGCCTCTGAAGATGGAAGAAATGTTATCAAATGTCTTATGGAAAGAAACATTAATGTAATTCATAAAAAAACCCCACTATCATCCATTAGTAGAGTCCTGTAACAGCATGAAAATACTACATAGGAAAATATTCAACAAAAACTTAAATGACACATTAGCAACCAAAATGAAGGGATTAGCCTTGTAGTACTGGATGAGCCAAGGATATTACAGCATCATTTTATTGTCTTCTACTTTCTGTGGTTGTGTCAGTAAAAAACCACAGATTTAAGCTTCTGGGAAAGACATAAGAAAGAGTAGTGGAAGAAGGTGTAACAAACATCAGGTAACTCAGTTCTAAGTGGAACAAAATGCAAATGAGCAACAACTTCCACAAACATATCACACCTCAACTACTCTTCCATCTTACTTTCCTATTTGTTTCTTTGCCAAAATGAATATGAATGCACACTAAGGTCTTCTCAATTCTCTTGGCATTCAGAGGTTAACAAAACAATTCTCTCCCTTCTGTCTTCAATAAAGGGCAAGAGTTCCTCCTGAAAATTAGAGTTTTACTGGAACAATTAGTAAATTCACCTAGCAGATGGAAAAAAAAAAAAGGCATATACAAATACCACATGCATAAGCAGTGTAATTGAATTTCTTAGATTTAAAATGGCAGTTTTCAAGTGACATTATTACATGCTCTTGTATGTTGTGCTATTATATAGGACACATATGTCAATGTTAATTCCTTTTGGTATGGCTATGAAAACAGTGAATTATCGGTACTGGTTGGCTGTGTTCATATGATCACATTGCTTAGTTTACTGACTTCAACAACACAAAAATTTGAAGAAGTTTTAAGTTCAGTATTTTTCAATAAAATGTAAGAATTCACTTCAACTTTATCTAAGCCTAAAATTAAACAGTATTAACTTGGACACCATAGTCTCTAGTATGTTGCCTGCCTGAGTAATATTGTCCTGTTAAAAAGGCACATTAGTGTCAGAAACCGTACAAGTTACAGGAAGCACATCTTTCAAAGTAAACCAATCTCCTATGACATGTACTCTTATTTTTAATTTAAAAGTGAACTTCTTTTCTTGAATTAGATGTGTTAAGTGTTAAGAAAAAGGCTCTTGGTGGCAAGCTTTTTGCACTGAATGAAACAAGAGTGCCAAGTTTCAGGGACTCAGAGAAAGCCATTGCAGGGGGGACAGCATAAACTAGGCTCTGAAGACCTGCCAAAGGCAGTCCCCTGCCTTTTTCAGCAGTGAACACTAATCTTGCAATTTAATAAATTAAGTTTCTGATATTTAAAAAGAAACTTCTTGCATCATCATATGATCAGTAGCTCTCATCCTGAAAGACTCATGTTTAAGTGTGGCTTCATGTACGTTTGTTAAACAGCATACTGAATTCAACAGCAAGGATGCCCCAGAAGCTTTGTGAAATAGAAGTTGAGGTTAAAGACACATGCCACTTTTATTCTGTTATTTACCTACAAAGTCCATTTGCGTGTGTTTTCAAGACAAAGGGATCTTGAAAAAATTGGTCATAATCATTAGCTACATATTTCTCAACAAAATGTGTAAAACAAAAACTGTGTGTGGCTGTGTGTCAAACAGCAATTATTCTTATAGTACACCCAAAAAGGAACACCATTGCAATCCCCCATTTCTAAATCTTATATGCAACTCCCACAAACACTGATTAAAAGTGTTCCACGAAGTTGTGCCAAATAGGGAGGAAACAAATCTAGAACGAATACTCCAAACTAAGCAAGGGTGGTTTAAAATTTGAAAACAAATTATAGCTGCTGTTCCTGTCCCTCTCACCATCACCAGCCTGCCCAGCCTCTGGCTGTAGAATATGAGAAAATTTTACCAGAGTAGCAATATTCACAATCTGCTGAACTGAAAGTCCATCTTTTAAGGATACAGAATTCGTATTTTAAAATGACTATTTCTTTAGTTATAATTTTCCTTAGTTATAACTGAATATTTATACAGTCAATTTATTTTATGCCAAAACTTTGACCTGTAAAGAAAGGAGGTAGAGTAGAAGAGAATAACAAGAAAAAAACAAAATCTAAACTTTTCATTATGGAAACAGCAACTTAATCTTCTTTTGAAGTGTGTGTAATTAATTCAGGCTTTAATAAAAAGACTCCCATAACAAAGACCTCAAATGCTACCAAAACCAGCTTGTTTCCATTCTGAATCTCTCTTTTTATTTGTAAAGACTGGCATTACAATTGAAAAGGACTCAAAATGGAGTGATGTACACATCATTGGTGTTTCTATGATGCAACTGATGGAGTCCCTGAATGGATATTGCTTCAGCTTTGCTTTTAAAAAATAATTTAAAAAGAAAATCTTCAAGTCCACTATCGATCACAGGTGGCAGAAATGAAAGAAATTAAAAGAAAAGAAACCAAAACTACTGTCAAATTCATAACATACAATGTTGGCTGATGACACTTGTTCCAGATGTACAATAAAGCCCACAACACTTTATTACTATGGATATAATTATTGTGAATGTTTTTTTCATGTTGATCAACTTGCTTCTGAAGGTTGGTTTTTTTGACTGTTTTAAACTTGCATAATAAACATGCAATGAAACATTTCTTGTTAAAGTGTTTTTTGCAGTCATCTTGTTTTCATACAAAGATTTCATAAAGTTGCAGTGTTGTATCAGAGCATTACCAAAATAAGAGCAAAAGCTAAAGAGGAAGGTAAATGTGAAATGAATCCGATGAGAATAACCTAATCTTGTCCTGAGACACTCCAGTCTTATTAAAAAGATGTGCACAATCAAATCCCTTCCTCCCAAGCCCACCAAAACCACAAAATAAATATTAACTTGGAAGAAAGGGAAGACATAAAGAAAAAAAACAAAACAATGTCATCATGCACTCATCTTCTGCATAGCTCAACCCACATATAGTAAGGCACTATTTCCCCACAACTTAGTGTCCATAGCAATCTTTACAGTGCTCCGTGAACTACATATAGTTCCTTCCAGGATGATGAAATAAACAGATCGAATGAGTGTTGCTACCATGTCACCCCATGTGTGATCTTATGGACAAGGGTATCATCTGGCAGTTTCAGAAATAAGCTGTCTGAAGTCTCTTCTTATGTGTACATGTTATGTATAGGGATATCTTGTGTGTGTGCAAGTGGTTGGTTTGTTTTCCAGAGCTGCTGCTATTTTTCACTGTTCTTTACTCCAGTGTTTTCAAAGCAAATATACAAGAAAATAAAAGCGCAGTTGGGTTAAAAACAGGGCTTTGGTGCTCCAAAAAGCACACAGCTTTGGGGATTTAAGAAATCTGTTAGATATTCCCAAAAGAGCTGGGAAACACATGGATTCATTTTCGTCTGGAAATTCTCATCTTTGCTTAGTTGAGCTGGTCTTCATACTGTTTTCGGAAGCAATCACCAGCAGGGAAAAACTCCCAGCATCGTTCTTGATACATTTTCCATACATAGGATTCCTGCAAGAAACACAGTTTAAATAATTTACCATGATTCAATGAGAAAGCAGCAACTATGACTTTTTTTTTTTACTCTTATTTATATACTGCTTCACTTTTTTGATTTTGTGCATATCAGGTTGTTGTGTATCAACCTGCAAAATCATGCTAATGATTTTCCTCAGTTTAGAGTAGCTTTTAGATTTTTGCCATAGCCAGAAAGCATTAGAAAACCACATAGAAGAGGACCAAGTAGTTTAGTTCTAATTACACATCCAAGAACACTGAAAAGCTCAGCTAAAGCTGGTCACGAGAACAAAAAATATCAGGGTAAGTAAAATATTTTCTGTCATAGAAATTTGATGGAATTTCTGCATCAATCATTTCAAAACATGCCTACACTCCATACATTAAAAAATATACCTTTAAAGGTATTTCTTAGAAGAGCACTACTTTTTGAATCAGTGATGGTTGTTTTTTTCTTCTTTCTGATTATTTGTTCAGGTAAGGCCCTGCCTCTAGGAAGTCTGAAGAATCATAAAGGATATGTCAGTTTACTTCCATTTTATTCACACCACTTAAATGTGTTTCTTATTATACAAATTCCATGTTAGAAAGGACACGTTCTACACAAGTTATAGAATCATTAAATCATTTAGTTTGGAGAAAAGACCAAGTCCAGTCATAAACCTAATACTGCAAGTCCACTACTAAACCATGTCCCTAGAAGTTATCTAGCATGAAGTACTCTCATTTTTCACATTATCAGCTAACAGAATTTAAGTTCGTAGAAATCTGGCTTCAGTGAATACAGTAGGACACATTGTATACAAAGAAAAAGAAAAAGCAAATAAAAAAAAGATATTTTGGAAAATTTCATGTAACGTGAAATTCTCAAATGACACATGGATGTTCAAAAATAGCAAAGCAAATATACAAAACCTGATACTGGACAAGGCTGAGAAGATTTATGCAAATAAGATTATTATAATTGCCCAGTAGATACAGCAAAGTTCAGAAAGAGTAAGCTACACAGATTTATAGCAAATCACCCCTCTGACCCAAATCTGTAGGGCTAGGTATATGAGACTCTTCAGGATTTTTGTTTTCTGATCTGCAACATGGAAACATATGCTTAGTCAGCTGCAGAAAAAAACCACCAGAAAAAAAACCAACAAAACAGTAGTCTGTAAATTTGATACATTTTTTTCCTGACTTCATGTATACTTAAAGGAAGTTGAAAGAAGCACCAGAAGTTTTAAAAGAACAATAGCAAAGAAGAAACCTCCCGGGAAAACTTCTCTCACAGGCTTGATTTTAAATATATGCACAAGCTCCTTCATATGGACTTATTCAAGAGTGTAGACATAGAAGATTATATATAGATAATAATAAACAGAAAAGACTTTTTAAAAAGGAATTAACAGGGAGAGATGAAGATCATTGCTTTCACAGGATGTTTAAATGTTCTGTTTCTCATTATTTTTGTTTATAGTCTCTATTTATATTTTGTGGAAGTAACAATTTAAGAATAACAGATCAGATTAAAAAATAGGAATAGAATCATAGAATCATAGAATCATAGAATGGCCTAGGCTGGAAGGGACCTTAGAGATCATCTAGTCCAACCTCCCTGTCATAGGCAGGGATGCCACCTCTTGACTAAACCTGGCAACACATGGGGACCGATCGGGAATAATAGGAAGTACTAGAGAATGGATACTCAATCTAACATTAAGCAACCAAAGTCCTAAGAATTCTTCAGAAAAATGAGAATTAAGTTACATACCATACAGGAAGCTATTCATTAGAATAGTCTTAGTTTTGCCAAGCCTGAATGATTTTTATTTTAAAATCAGGCTTATTTAATAACTGTTGACATTCATAGCTGTTCAGCTCACCTGTCCAGTATGCTCTGTTTCATCCTTGTTAATAAGATACATCAGAAAAAACCTAAAAGCAAAGAAACAGCTATAATAAATACAATATTAATTAAGAGATTTCTCTTATTGAAATTATATATTGGGGATATTTTGCTTGTGTATGTAACTCAAGATTAACATAAGTAGATCTTACATGAGTATTGGCATTTTGAAGTATCTGACAGACACTAGGTGACATTCTTCCTTAGAATAATAGACATTCTTCCTTAGAATGATGCAAGCAGAATAAGTATGCTATAGTATGTTTTTTGTGTAGTACTTATCTAAGCAGGAACAAAACCCCACATGACGGTGCTTTTAATGTATCTTTGGCACTGGATTTTCATATATATTTGACAGAGAAGGAACAGTGAATGTGGAACCAATAAATGGGTTTATTTCCAGATTTAAAAAGACTGAGTTTAGTGGTAACTGATGCTCTGCTTTGATTTTCCAAAGGCAGACTTGATGCCCTTAGTCTGATTCTTCCCCTCTCTACCTCCTCATTCTAGTTCCCCTACCTCCCTTTGTCCTGGATTCTCTGAGTCGGCCTCAACACTCCACTCAAAATAATTTGTCCAATGTAAGTCTTCCAGGCTAGGTCACTGTACTTACACAAAGCATTCAATTTCACACCACCTCTGCAGCCATGTACTAATTTCCCAGTTTCCATCCCCTAGCTCACACAAATTTGGTGTGTCACAACCTTGGTAATGAAGTTTGTTCATTCCTTGCTCGCATCACCACAGAATTACATATTCAGAGAGCATGATCACACATCAAAGCCAAACAGTTCTGACCCCTTCTTATGCAAAAGACCTAATCAGGTACTGGCAGAGGCTGCAAGGGTCATGAGTTAGTGAGGAGTTCATTTTTACTGTACTCACAAATAATTGGCCAAGTTGTGCTCCTGTAGTGTGTGTGTTTCAAAGCCATGGGGCACTGTATCAAAGTAGTCATTTCCTATTCCACAGATAAAGCACTTCGTCTAAAAGAAAGAATACAGAGCACTTCAACACTATATATAACTCTGCCCTCCTTTGAGAAAAGGCCAATAAAATATAACAATTGCCTTGAAAAATGCAATGCATCATGTACAATGTGTGCCGAACAAAAATGCTTTTCTTGTAATGATTGGGACTGGATACCTCACTCAACACAATTGAATAGAAGAGCTTCTTACTGTGTAAATAAATTTAAAAAAATAAATCTTTGCCAGTTGTAAGTGAACAGGTATCCAGAAGAAGAATGGCATACAATGGTCAAAGCTGATTTCTTTTTGATTTCTTTTTTCCTTTAACACTGTGAATAGCACTAACTGTAACATACGGCAATGTTTACCTCAGTGCTTGTTGTACTTGTCCAGCTTAAACTGAAGATGCTTGAAGTTCAAATTACAAAACATAGTGGGTTTTCAACATTTTTCTGTTCTTATAGTCATATCATACTTGAATGACATCAAACCACCAAGTACAGGGTACATTCACACATAGATTAACCAAAGAAAATTACACGAGTTGAGCTGTAACATGACAGTGTTAACACCCTGTGTTAGAAAGCTCTAGTCTGAAGATCCAAAAGACTTAAACAGCCAGAAAGATGTAATTCATTATAATGTTCAGCAATGCACAAAGATTTTTCTTGTTTACAATAACAAAGATACAGGTATTAATCTAAACATTAAAAACTCTTGAGAAAACAAGCTGCTAGGTTTTTTGTCTGTTTTTTTTTGTTAACTTATGACTGACAGCAAGACCTGGCTACACTTGATATGGAGGTATTAAAAAAAATCCACACCAGGCATTGGCAAACAAATCCAAAATATGCTTAGCACAGAATATCAGCTTAGACAGCCTAGGTTATGTCCTATGGAAAGAGATATGCAATTAGCAGCTAGCACCTGTGAAAGCATACTATACCTCTTTCACAGGAGGCATGTGGTAAACGCCATTCAGAACCTGCATGCTAGCAGAGTTTTCTCTTCAATAAGATTTCTTTCAAAAAGTTTATTTTAAAAGATTTTTTTTGGAAACTAACAGAACTACTTACGCAAGTTCTTACACTTCAATACATACAAAAAAGTAAATTAAAAAAGAACCACTCTCAGCTATTATTTCCATCTAATGAACCGAGATGTAAGAGTAGAATCTCTTCCAGGATATTGTACAATACCGGACCATGCACAAAACTATATTTTCCTCTTAGTTTAAAAAAATATCCACTATCTAGACCACGTTTTGATTGAAAACAGATATTCTTGAAACCTGAAAATAGGGTACAGTTCAGCAATTGGATGTTCTTACCTCCATGTCTTCCTTAACTTGCTCTTGCTGATCTCTTAACTCACCAAAAGCATCAATAATTAAACCTAGGGTTTAAGTTAAAATGACAGTTAGTGTTCAAGATCAGAACTGTTACAAAGAATATTTGAAAATCCAGGGATAACTCTGAAAATGAGTATTTAACAAGAATCTTGTGCAGAAATATGAGAGCCAACATACATTCCAAAAACCGCAAAACCAACTCAATATGTGCAAAAAAATGAGCAAGTCAAAGAAAATGGCTACCAGAAACATGGCTGGCAGTACCATTTGGAATTGCAGAATGGGACAAGACGACTTTGGTTTTATTCCCAGTGCTCTATTCTTGAGTCAAGACATGAAGGCACATGTGGTTTCACAGCGCTAGAGGCTTTACTACAGAAAGAATACTTTTGTATTTTTTACAGAGTTCAGGGTTTTATTACACGGCCGATGCAGAGAGGCCCAGAGCTCTGCGCACCCTCTTTCATTGCAGTTGTCATGTAGTATGAGGTTCCACCGTCACAGCTCTACAGAAGTAAGGGATCATTTCAGGGAGACAGAAGAAGAAAAACCAGCAGAGGCTTTATAGCTCAAGACTCTAAATTGTTTATGATTCTCCCTTCACTTTACAGCAATACAAACAAGGACTAACTCCACAGTCATTATTGACAATGCTGTGCTGTAAAACTGATGAAGACCATTTAAGAACTAGACTCAAAGCTTGACAGCTAAGGCCTCTACTCTTCAGCCACTCACAAAATGAAGAAACAAACAGGATGAGATATGCCACTTCAAGCTATAAAAATTTTTGTATACTCCCCAAACCTTCTGAAAAACTTGCTGCGTGAGTAAGACTTATAAACAATTTACCAGAAGCTCAGAGTCACCTTCTAAACTTCTTTGTAGGAAGTGAGAAAGCCTTCTTGCTGTCAAAATCATCCTAAGTCATCTAGTTGTTAGCTGACAGAAAGCAGTAAGGTATCACTATTTATAATAGCAATGGGACCAAGAAAAAATCATTACACATTTTTCCAAAGTCAAGAATACACTTCTGTTAATTTGTGAAAACCTTTGTGAAAAAAAGATGATCTTCTGGGCAATCTTGACAACCTTTTGAAGTTAGAATATGTAAACAGACAGGGCTTTGAAGTACTCTAGCAATAACACTAAACATTATTAACATAAACATAACATTAAAAACTCTGAAAAACCTTGATTTACCAAAATTCAGTATCCACTATCCAGATTACAACAGCAAACCACATTATTGGTCAGTCAAAATAGTTTGGACTCAAATTCAGAATCTGATGGCAACTGACTTTCCATTGTCATTAACTGGGATATAATAAGGCAATTTCCTATCAAACACTTTTCTTTACTCTTTGATATTGTTCAGGTAAGCAGGCATCACACCAAACAGAGGTTTTTATCTAAGAGAAGATTAGACTTCTTAAAGCTGTGTTCTGATTTTCATACCACTGCTACCAACCTGAAGATTTCCAAGACATTCAAAAACAGTAGATGATCGCAGAGGAAATACTGACAGCACCCACTACTGGCTTTGTCCAAATAAGCTCACAAAGGGTAGGTTATGCTGAAAGACAATTTTAAGGAATGCCACAAGAATTCTAATCACTTCTCTTGCTGATCATTTACAGGAGCCTTTTAGAAAAGAGCAGTGAGAAGGAAAAATCGTAGTGACATCAGTATTCCCACAGCAAAGAGTTTTTTTATTTTCACTGATCCAGTTAGAGCCTGTTGATTTTACAGAGACTAGGAAGAACGGCATATGGATGAAAGCCAGCTGGGTGTAATTTACTTTATGAGTCTGTGCTTCATGATCTGTCCTTGTATCCTGGTTGAATCTTAAGTGTGTGATTACTGTAGCACTAAGATTTTTGTACTGTTAAATAATGCTTTCAGTCTCACCAGGGGTTACAAACATATACCTTGAATAATTGCAAGCAGGATGACAATCACGAAGAAGAAGAATGTGATGTCAAAGATAATCCGATAGATTTCATATTCATCTCCTGCTGGATCCTCTATTTCATCACCAATGCCTCCACCTGCACGTACTCCAACATACATATGAAACATGTAGCACTAGAAAACACAAAGGGACACAAAGTTTGTCTATGCCTAAAAGTAAAAAAACCCATTGTTGCAAATTCAGTAGTTGGCAAAACTGGTCTATGGTCAAGCTATCTTCATCTCCCCTTTGAGATTATTTATATTTCTGAGTGAGGCGAAATGCTGTTGTACAGCTGAAGCTGCAGTATTTCTTGTTCTGGCACTATGCAACAGTTAAAAAAGATCAAAGGTTCAACTATCAGCTGCCCAGCAGCACACCACTGTTCACATACAATTGTTTCAGTGCAAATAGGAAATACCATTTCCACCACAGCCAGCTCCTTTTCTATTTTCCTAGCTCTGAAGTGAATGACTGTTCCCATCTTTGGTGTTTCAAATAAAAAATAATAAAAAAACTCAACCAACCAAACAAAACCCCTTTGAGAACATTTGTGCAGAGAACAGGCAAATGATGGCAAAAGTCTGAGACTAATATGTAAAACTGTGCTGAAAAGTGGTATGTCTCAGCGTAGTTATGTGGTATGCTGACAATGCAAAATTGCCAGTTTATCATGGTGCAGTTTCATAGAAAATTATGATATCACTCTTGGAAGTATTGAGCACTTACCCCCAAAATCCCACATATAAGAAATTTTTATAGTAACATAAAACACCGAGTGACTAATGGCTGAAAAATGTAACAATTTTTAGAGACAGTATTTATTTCACCATTCAAAGACAATCATTAATTTAATGAGCAAATATAGTGTTTGTTATCTACCAGGTTTAAAAAGTTATTTTTCTATTTCTAAAAATAAAACTATATTCTCTTTTCTTTTTTTTTTTTTTTAACTTCACATTGCAAGTCTTACTGCTTTTACAAAAGACAACCCTGATTTTATAGCATATCACACGGTATTCTAACTCACTCCTGTACAATAGTAAAGCTTTATGTGAGCATATCACACAGAATCACAGAATGTTAGGGACTGGAAGGGACCTCAAAAGATCATCTAGTCCAATCCCCCCGCCGGAGCAGGACTAGAACACCTAGATGATGTTACACAGGAAGGCATCCAGGCGGGTTTTGAATGTCTCCAGAGAAGGAGACTCCACCATCTCCCCGGGCAGCCTGTTCCAGTGTTCTGTTACCCTTACTGAGAAGAAGTTTCTTCTCAAGTTTAGGTGGAACCTCTTGTGTACCAGTTTAAACCCATTATCCCTTGTCCTACCATTGGTTGTCACCGAGAAGAGTCTTGCTCCATCCTCGTGACACTCACCCCTTACATATTTATCAATTAGGTCACCCCTCTCCTCTTCTCCAAGCTAAAGAGACCCAGCTCCCTCAGCCTTTCCTCATAAGGGAGATGCTCCACGCCCTTCATCATCTTGGTTGCTCTACGCTGGACTCTCTCCAGCAGTTCCTTATCCTTCTTAAACTGAGGGGCCCAGAACTGGATTCAGTATTCCAGAGGTGGTCTCACCAGTGGGAGGACCTCTCTCGCCCTACTAGCTACTACTCCCCTTCTAATACCCCCCAGGAAGCCGTTGGCCTTCTTGGCCACGAGGGCACATTGCTGGCTCGTGGTCATCCTGCCGTCCACTAGAACCCCCAGGTCCCTCTCCCCTCCACTGCTCTCTAATAAGTCATTCCCCAACCTATACTGGAACCTGGGGTTGTTCCTACCCAGATGCAAGACCCTACACTTTCCCTTGTTATATTTCATTAAATTTTATATCCACAGTCTCCTGCCATGAACTGGTGTAAAGAGCCTAGATTTGTCTTCCCAATAACCTCTCTGCAGGCACTGAGGAACTACTCTTACACTCCTCCCCACTGTGAAGCTTTCTCTTCTCCAGACCAAAAAAAGCCCAGTTCCTTCAGCCGCTCCTCCCAGGGCAAGTGCTCCAGCACCTGACAATTCAGTGGGCCCTCCACTGATTTATGCTTTAGTTTACCCATGTCTTTCTAGTATTTAATGTTCCAAATTGGACAAAAATATAAACATACTAGTCTGCTTCCACAGTTTATCTAATTATTGGGCTTTTAAATGATGTCAGTTCCTGGAAATTATTTGTATTGGATAACATACTGAAATATACTTAACTTTGTTGTACACAATTGCTTTTAGAAGGATATCAATGGCAACACATTTTAGAAATTACCTGAATTACTTATGATTTTTTTCCCTACAACTGATCCTTCACCTGAATGGCCTGTACAGCATCAAGATTCAGAAGTATTGCCCTTTAACTGACTCAGATCAGCTTCACAGCCTGTGGTTGTTTTTCATTTTTTTTTGAGAAACTATAGCAAAGAATACCATCACATTTTTTCTATTCACTTATATATATATATATGTATTTGTTTCACATATACAGCGTATATCTAGTTTTTTGGAATGTTCATTATGTTTTCTCCTTTGCCTTCAGTTATAGGCTTTCCTGTTGCTGGCTAATGATCAACTACATGAATAGGAATTACAAGAAGATCAGGACAATAATAGTTTAAAAAAATAAGCGAATTAAGACTTACTGTTAGCATATCATCACATTTCATGTCTGGCATATCACCATCTTCACTCTTGTTGTAGAACTTGCGGAAAAAATTGAATGCCACCACTGTATACAAGTATACTACCACTGCCAGTAATCCCACTGTTAGAACAAGCTGGAAGACAAAATTATAGAGTGGATATAACACCACCATGTAATTATGCTATACAATTTTCTTTGCACAAAGAAAATGAAAGTAACAACTTATAAGTACTAGCAGAAGGAAAATTTTCTTTACTTTTTCTCTGTCGCTTCGCATATCTTTGTAATATTTGGTAACATATCTGCATATTTTCATGCAAAGATAGTGCATTTCACCTGTTTTATTTTGAAGGAAAACAATGCTAGAGAAACACAGTTACAAAGACAAATCTTGCAAAATCTAGTGGATACAGATATAATCAATCAATTAGAATCATAGAAAACCTACACAATCATACAAAAATATCTGAAGTTACTACCTAATAGTAATATTAATACTATTTAATAACACATAAAATTGCAATATAGCATTTCCACTAATTTAATACTGAAACAATTTTATTTACATCTATGAAATCACATATAAACCAAAATGTTCCAAATATTTTAATATCCACCTAATCTATCTAATTAGTATCTACCTCAAAGAAGCAGCAACAAATATCCCACTACTCATTTGAAGCATCATTAAAGCTTTTGCCTTGAGCTTTATGGAAAACAGCTGCAAGTGAACTGCAATATCCTGTAAATCGGTATTTTACTTGCATAGCTGCCAAATGAAAAAAGTTCCTTCTCATAAATAATGCCCTTTTACTTCATACATAATTTGCCTTAGGACTATTTATTAAAAGGTAGAATACTTCAGTTTTATTTCAGATGCAGGCTCATTTTTTTCCACTTTTTTCATTCTTTTAAAAAATCAGAATTAAGAATTTAAGAAATGCTGTTCTTTAAAGGGCAAAGAATGCATTACATTCATTTCTGTAACTCTTCAAAACACAATTTTTGTTCCACAAATTAGGTTTGCCACATAAACTAAAACAAAAAACAATTTGACAAGGTAAGTTCATATGTAAGAGTCCTCTACATGTCATGTGCTTCACTAGCTATTTTGAAATATAAAGTATATTTATTAAAATCTGTATTACTTGTTAAAAAAGGTTGCCAAGGACAGTTCATTTGAAGGCAGAACTAAATTAAATCAATTACCCTTTGCATTTATAGAAGAATCATTGCTAATGATTTTATGTCTCTCTAGTACCAAACTTACTTAAACCAAATTATAATAAAAACAAAAACTCTGAAAAATAACTTGCTACTGTTAGATTCCTAAAGGGTTTGTGCCATCAGACGTCTACAGCACCTGCGTTGTTCCATCTTAGCACAACAGCACATACAGACACCTTTATGTTACCATTCCCAGCTCACTTAAGTAAGAACGATAACAGGTGCTTTGCTGGAAGATCTTCTAAGTGGAACAAGGATGTCTTTTTTTATCATTAAAAATTGTTTACAAAGATCCTTTGAACTAGGAAGGTCATCAGACTTGAGGAACACTAAGTCTCAGGTTATATTAATTGCCATTCTTGTAAGATCTCAGTAAAATAAAAGCCTTAGTTATTTTCTTCACTTAAAGAAGAAATGCATTTTCAGATTTTATAGCTTCTTTAAGAAAAGATTTCTTGGTATCAAAGATCTGAGTTTCTCAAATAGTCCTTTAACAGCAAGAGTAACTTGGTCTCAGATGGACTTTTCTTCAGGTGAATCTTGAACAACGTTTAAACAGCAACTTTGTGACACAGTTGCTTTTAACAGCTAAAGACTACCATACATCCTAGTCTCATTTTCTTATGCTTATAAATTCCATTGGCTTGTTTGCCAGCTGACCCAAGTTCTAAACTTCATGATGAAAGAATAGTTTGGCTGTCAATCTGCAGAGCAACTGAATTAAGTCATGAAGTGATCTCTCCTGCAGACTCCTTAAGCAAAAAAGCTGAAAAGAGACAACAGTTGATACCTGTTTGCCATTGTGGGTCACAGATGACAGGATAGTTCGTAATGTCTTGAATCCCATTGCAATGTCAAGTAGATGAGCAGCAAAGAAAAAGTTGTTGTAATGGCCAAGGACTGACATGGTCATGTACCATGCTAAGTAGAGGAAAGACTAACAGAAAAAACAAGTACATCATAAAATAAAACTCAATGCATTATCCTTAAATTAATTCAAAACACTAAAGAAAGGTAAACATTGCTTGAATATGCTTTTCTTTGAATAGAAAACAATTTTATTTTATTTTTTACATAGAATTTGCTAGACATATTTCAGAATTTTTTCTTTATGCAGAAATATTAAAACAAATACAGGGTTCACAAGACATGGTCAAAATTGACATACTCTAAATTTTAATTTGTAAAAACTAATTTTGAAATTGCTAAAGCATTATTTGTTAATGTTCCTAATGCAAAAAAAGTTTTTCTTATTTAAATGATTTTTTAAAATTTCTAAATAATTGCATTAAAATATTAAAGTTCTAAAGCATTTAATGACAAATGAAAGGACTCTGCAAGCAACAAAAGGAATTTTATAATTAATTCAAACTACAAAAACTATTACTTAAACATATAAGTATTGGCTTACTAACTACTACTACACATGTTAATTTCATCTTTTCCTCTATCATTTAATTTTTATTAGACTTGAAGACAAGTCCTTCCCTTAGTTAAAAATTAATTCTGAACAAACTTGAACTCATTACAGATCATGCTCTCTGTAGATCTGGAGACTTATCATTCCACTCTTCCTGACTAAAGTCAAGATTACATTTTCCTTCTCTGTAGTTCTAAAATCATTTGTTCCTCACCCATTTATTCTAGCAGTAAAATAAGCCGAGTTAGGCAAGTGATAATCATAAGACATCATGATGAGTGTCTTCTTAAACTGCAAGGCACTTTAACAGTCTTGTTTATCATTCCTTTTTTGTTGTGTTTTTTTTAAGACTTATTTTTTCCAAATTATTAAAATCACCAGCCTTGTGTCACATCCTACTACCAGTTTCAGTGACATAAATTTTAGCAATTCTATATACACTAACTATACCAATCTGACTGTAGTCCAGGAATACACAAGTGCTCAGAAAGTTAATAAACAACATGAAAAATCACAACCAGAATTTAGTCACTTTTCCAATTCTTACTGCTCCTGAATAAAGCATATAAGAAGGCGTGAGGAATGACTCAGGTTCTATAGACTAATACCAATGTAAGTGGGAAAAGATTTTAGCTATGTCGTTTTAAGCTTGTAAGATTTTCTTCATCTACGTACTAAATTAAATATAATTCAGAGTATCTTCTGAAGCACTTCAAGTTCACAAGTGCGTATCGCTTTTTAGAACGTGGATATATACATATATATGTTCGTATATATATATATTGATAAACTTACATTATCAGTGAAAACAACTCCTAATTTCCACATCTGATACTTAACATCAATGGAATTCAGCCTGTAAAAAAAAAAAAAATTAAAATTACATTTTATATTAAAACACAATAGGAAAATATGCAACACAATCTGTAGAAAGTGTACTGTCACATAAACACAGGAGACAACAGCTCATCTATTTCTCCAAAAGCTGAAATACATCAGAACCTTGTTCTAATTCACACTCTGGAATGGACCTGTCCAAAAAAAAAAGCAGAAAAACAAATTAATAATATTGTTTTGGATTCATCAGACCTACTGCTGATCAATGTCTATTATGTTATTGTACATATAGAAGTGAAATGAACTGTCTTAATACTCAATGGAGAAAAAGAGCTTTTGGTATTTGTTTTCTTTTTAAATGCAACCCATTTGAGTAGCTGACAAAAAAGGTTAGAGAATTTGCACCCCAAAATGCCAATTCTTTACTATAAGCTATGATAGTATATCCTCGGCGATACAATTAAACTATATTAAAGATAGAGAGAGTGAGGTGAAATGAATCTCAGAGCTTGAACTTCTCTCTCGCTGAACTTCCACAGGACTATACATTTAACTCAGAGCAGGTAAAAGAGCTCAGTTATATTATTAATACTCTGCAAAGAGAGAAATAAAAAGCACAGAGGATAAAGGTGAATTCTAGAGTCTAATATCTAATTAAATAAGATTTAACAGACTTTCATTTTCTTTTTACCATTTCATTTGTTGCTTGTTTGGGTTTTTTACCTAGGCCACGAATTACTAGGTTAACAATTCTACAATTTCTCATAAGTTGCCCCAAACCTTTCTAAAGAATGAGAGTTGATCACAGTTTACTAGGCACAATGATGGCACCGACAGGAATTTGTTTTGCTTCAGTATTCTCTCCATGGTAGACAGCTACTCTGTAGAACTAGTCTAAGGTTTCATCTTTGGCAAGGGGGTTGGACTAGATGATCTCCGGAGGTCTCCTCCAACCCCTAACATTTTATTCTATGATTCTTCCATAGTGACTCAGGCCAGCGACTAGTCACTGGGTGACAACAAACTACATACACTAGAGAAATAAAAGATGCCAGGCTTTCAAGCTTACAGAGATGGAAAGATGAGTCCATAACAAAATTTGCATTAGTATCTTTAACGAAATCATTAGAATCGTGCTAGTCTCAAAGGTCCACAAACTGTACTATGCTCCAGATAACACAGAGTACTCAGACAAATCTAGCATGCTGTCATTTCAGTAAAGCTAGGAAAGCCTCTTGAACAATCAAATGGCTTTTCCAACAACAGTCTCACACAGCTAAGAGTTGCTGATACCATTTTCATCATCTCCAAGTTCTAAGAAAATTTTCTAGCTCCAAATGTGAGTTCTTTAAGAAATAAAAGTTTACATAAAAATCTGTCATAGATGGAAAAGGGGGGAAAAAAGTTCATAAATGTTAAGAACAATGTCTGATTCAAATACTGTTCAATAACATATCCAGGTGGTAAAATGAACCAAAACATCCTGAAATTTATGCCTGAAAATATTATTGTAGCAAGTTAATTTCTTACTTCATTCTCATCAAATATCACTCCCTTCTATTATTACTCATATACTTGTGACTACATTCCACCTATTCATAACCATATTTGTCATATGTATGAAACACCACAGAGAGGACCGCTTATGGACAGGCAGGATACTCCTATGAAATGAAAAAAAAATCCCGAACACCCAGATCTCTAGTCCATTTTATGATTTTATATTTTGGAAACAGCGATAACTGGAGAGCTCCGAAATGTAATGTGATCACTGACCTATATGGAAAAAAGAATTGTTCAGTCTTCTGTATCTTCATTTTAGAAAACAAATCTATTATGGATAGCAATGCAATAACAACATGCATAATACTGTTTTTTTCATGCTTATTTCTGCTCACTACCTTGATCACATAGCTCAAAGACTTAAAAGAATATGATGTCATATAAAAATTAAGCTCTATGGCTATGAATCAAAAAGTAACAGCATAATTTCAAGTTTCCTGTGGAATATCATTCATTAGTATTATACTGGATGAATTTCTTTGTCTGTATGAATATTTTTTTTGACTTGTTGCACCACTGAACAGGTTGTCATACACTGTAGTACTGTAGTTGCAGTAGCTGAATTTAGCAATGGTGAACAATGACACAGTGTAAATAAACGAGAGGAAAATTGTGAGAAATCACTGGTATTACCTTTGGCTGCAACTTGCACTAGTATTTCATCACCTTGAGTTACACCCAGACATTATACAGCTTCTTTCTAAAGACCTACTGCATTCAGCTGCTTCGAATACAACAGTAGGTTTTCAAAAGCTATTCTGCTTCATTAAAAAAATTGAAAATCCTTGGGCAATCCAATGACACTAATGTTAACTGGAATCAGAAAATTCTGAACTTTTCAGCCAGAATCATTTTAATGTTTGTACATCAGAGATGTTTAAAACAGCCATAGGGCACTGCCAGCTGAGGAACAGCTACCATTACTTTAAGTTCAAACTGAAAAACAGCCTTGCAGCATCATTTAACCTTCTCCCAAAAATGACAGGCTGACTGAAACTGGGAAGAGTTTTAATTAGGTAGCTCTTCACATTAACTTTCTTAGAAGACACTGAAATTTTATGTTAAAGGTTCTTTCAGGTTGTTTCAGGAGGTTAATCTAACTGACAAAACAGTTTAGAAAGATGACGCATCTTTCTAAAGCTACAAGAAAAATAATTAACAAAAATATGATCATTGTTACCAATTAATGAGTTTCAATGTAAGTGTTTAGGAAGATCTTCTGTTAATGTTACTATTTGTAAAACAGAAAGCATCCCATCAGATTAGAAACATTCATTATGTATTAATTGGTCAACTGGGAAGGAAATATTATCATTTTTATTGCACTGCATTGAAATAGTGCTCCTTTTGTGCTAGGCCCTGAACAACATCAGCAGGCAATACATTACAGAGACTGGTGCCAGTTGATGCTGCAAAAAGAAAGCATTGAACAAATCCAAATCAAACCAAAACAATGAGTTCCTCAGTGTCTTTAAGTTATCTGTCTGCCTTGGAGATACAGAACATAGAGCAGATTATTACTTTAAGGTATCCTACACAAAGAATCTGCAAGGTTCCACTGTGCTTAAGAATCCCAAATAAATAATCAGAGGAAGAGGTATTTCACTTTAGCATCTGTGAGTGGAAGAGCTTCAGGCTGTTTCCCACATATGCATCAGTTCTGTCAATGTAACAGACTGGGAGCTCGGACATTATATATTAACGGTAATTATACCTGTCTCTCAACCATGAGGGCTGAAGCCATGACCCACTTGCAGATATACATTTCTATTTGGACAAATAGGCACATCCACAGGTTTGTAAACCCTGTGGTGACATCATACCAGGTATAAATCTTGGAACTTCAGGTGTAGAAACTACCTCAAATAAAATCTCTTTTTCATCAGCCATTATGGACGTCACGCTGTCATCCAAGGGAAAAGTCTAGTACTAGTCTAGTGGATGCCCCCTCCCTGGAGATACTCAAGGCCAGGTTGGAAGAGGCCTTGAGCAACCTAGTCTAGTTAAGGGCAGCCCTGCCCATGGCAGGGAGGTTGGATTAGATGGTCTCCAAGGTCCCTTCCAACCTAGGCCGTTCTATGATTCTATGATTCTATTCAGGAAAGTGCTTCTGCCACAATACCAAATTTTATTTAGTATTGCAGTGTCACAGAGTCCTGGAGCCTTAATACTGCATCTAATTGTTTAGACGGCTTCAAGTTTATTTATCCATCTTTATAGAAGAAAGATATTAAAATTTCATATTTACAAAATCAGCACTTGCTTCAATGCAATTATAATCTACCAGTGGTACCACTGTCTACCTCACATAATCCTTGCAAGCCCATTGAAAAAATGTTGCTTTTAAAGAAAGCTATAAATAAACTCTTACATTAGAATCTCCATAGCACTAAAAGTCTATGTGTTAAAATATATTATATCTATTTGAATATCTTTTATAATGCAGAATTGGAAGAAACACTTCTGCAGTGCTTTACAAAAACTGCGCATTAGGAAGGAAAACGAATGCAACTACTCTGAATGTCTAGAGGCTTTTTTTTCAGGTCTGTCTCTTAGATAATAGGCAAATACATGAATGAGGGAAAACAAATTATAAGAAGATGTGAAGACTAATTTCCTAGATATTACTTGTCACTATCACTTAATTTCACTCTATCTTTTCTTTACAATCAGCACATACAGTGCCATCTTGCTCATTCTTTATGGCTGAGTGTGAGACAATGTAAAGCAAGATGTCTCAAACAGCTGTGGTCCTTATGTTATCTAGCCACTTGGTCCTGATTACTGGAGATAACGGGAATGGGCCACTGCGGGGATGGTCTGTCTGTATTGATTGACTTCACTTAACCAAATCAATGGAACAATGTGATGGTCAAACCCCACCTACAGTCAGGCAAGTTACAGAGGACCACCAGAGACCCCCCAGAGGACCACCAGGGACCTCTGAAGCAACTCATTTGAGGAATTCTCTGGAAGATGCCACAGTGCCTGTGTGGAAACTAATGCAAACGCAACCTACCAAGCTACAGGTGGCACCGCATCATCCTGGATCTGAAAATGCTGCTGGATGACGCTGGAACCCAGTGTGGTGATCTTTCTATCTACTTTCCTGTCTTCTTTCCTCTTTTCTCTCCCCATTCTTCTTTTCTCTCCCCTTTCTCTTAATCATTCTATTTCTCTCTAAAATGCAATCCCTTCATTAGCTATTGCTTATTATGCATTGCTCAATAAATCTTACATTTTCAAATTGTTGGTGTGATTGCACCTCTTATGTTGTTTGCAGGAATCCAGAACCTAAGTTACAATCCAAAGTGAGGCCAGGGGTTTCATTAGTCCAGACATGACACTGAGCTGAACTGAGAGAACTATGAACAGCTATAATGACACCATCAAAAGAGCGGAAATGTGATGCATCCAGGCAGCCTGTGCACTAAACTAAATTTTCATACATAGAAGAGTGGAGTCCTGCACACACTGAAATCAATTCACACGCATTGAAATCAATTCATTACATCATTCAACTTAACTGATTTATCTTATACAGCTACATGTAAAAGAGCAACAAGAAAATTCAAAGCTGAATGACAAACTTTGAATGTTTGATTTTAGCTTACAAAAAGTTCCCAAACTAACAAACAAATCCAAACAAAAACACTCAAATAATCACACGAACAAACCAAGTAAATGCTTACACAGCAGATAAGGAGCTATCCTTCTTTGGTTTCTTCTTTTCTCGAGCATCACTAAAATCGAGAGCAGCTTTGTCCATTCCCAGTAACTCACTGATCCTGTCACGGCCATAGAACTCACCATATTTATCCATGACCTAAAGTCAGGAGGAATATTTTAGAGAATCAGCTGGGTAGACCAGGTGTTTTTTAGCCTCATTTCTGAAGGTGAGTGGTTTAACATCTATATTTCCATCTGTTTAGTGTATCAGTCAGTAATATTTTTTTTTCTGCTCAATTGCAATCAATTCAATAGAGGCAAAAGATGGGTGTCAAAGATAAGACGTTCCTGCTCATTTAATGAAGAAAGTAAGAGGAAAGCAACCCAGCAGAAGGAAAATAACTAAATCAATATCATCGACAGAAAAAAAATACACTGTGAGGTCACAAAGGAAAGAGACATTTTGAATATCATGGCTACATGAAAATCTCAGATTAAAAAAAGATTTCTCAAAGAGAGTATTTGATCCTTCTAAGTTATTCCTTTTAAGAAAAATAATAATCAAAACAAAGCTCAAAACCCAAAACCATGTTTATTCCATTTAAAAAGGTTTTTTAAAATTACCCGAATATCTCGACTGGGTTTTTAAATTTTTTTTTTCTTTTAAGAGGAAATATTTCACATGGAAATAGTTGAGTAGGTCTATTGCATAATTACATGATCCTATTTTTATAAGTTAATAATGATAATTATTAATATTAGTTAATAATAATAATGAAACTACAATACACATATAATATGGAGGAATCAAAAGATCTTGAACAAAGAGTTACAGTTAAAAATAATTTTCAATGAATTTAAACTATTTCCTCCTCTCCTTCTTCCAAAATTTAACATTTAACATAAGAAACTTTTCTGGAAATGAACATTTACTTGCTCTCATTCACATAATTTAAAACCATGCTCCTTTCCTTTTAATAGAAGCCTTCCTTGACCTAGCACATTGACAGAAGCAATGCAGAATTTTATATTCCTTCTTGAGTACTCTGTGTAAACTACTCCCTCTTCAGACAGATAAATAGATAACAGATATGTAAAAAACACTTTCAATGGCAAAATGAATACATAACATATTTTTTAGACAGGCTGACCTAAAACTGGTATGAAATAGAAGAGCTACTCGTATTTAAAAAGACATATTTCCAAAAGTGTGATTCAAGATTGCCATTAGCGGTGTGAAAGAGAGGTAAATCTGATCCATCAACATAAACACCCTCTTTTTCCATTGTGACCAAATGCACTAGGAAGATTACTCTTACCATTAGCTGTGAGCAAACTGAAAAAACATGTGACATAACTTTCATAAGAAATGAACACCAACAGTCTCTGCTTAGAGAGGACTATTTCGAGAGGGAGAGATTGTTAGGTTATGTGATAAAAGCTCATCTGCACATCCACAAAGGACCACAGAAAGATAATGGTGGAGGGAAAATCCCAAGAACACCCAGCCCAGCTACTCCCAGGCCCATCACAGGAACCATCAGCCTATGAAAGGCCCATTTCATCAAACCTAGAGGAGCACAGAGGCACAATGGCAGGCAGGAACACAAATTACAGACTCCCAATGAACGGACAACCTGTCTGGTCCTTTCCAGGGATGTCCCAGGAGAGTCTCAGGCCCAGTGTCCAGGTCTGAAATCCATCCAGATGAGTCACTGGGATTAGCTCTCCAGACCACCTTTCAGACTAAGAGGGCTACTGTATAGCATTTTGGGATACGTTATAGGATGGCAACAGAAGAGAATTTGGGGATTGGGCAGAACTTTTTCTTATTTTCTTACTTATTATTATTTTATATTATATTTGTATATTGTATTTATTTATACTTATAAATTATTTTATGTTATGTTATATATTTATTTGTTACTATTTTGTTATTTTTTTATTATTATTATTATTGGAGTTTATAGGAAGAAGCAAAGGTGGGAAAAGGAATGGATTTAGGTGATTCAAGGAGGAACAAGTGTGGAAGAACAGAGTGGCAAGGGACAAAAAGGGCCAGAAGCATGTACATAATTTGCTGGTCTATTTGCTGACTATTCCCGCTGCCTAAACACCTCCATCTGTCCTAAATTCTTACTAAACTCCTTTCTAATCCTCCTGTGTGAGGGACTCTCTCTTCTGTGTGTATGGAGGTGAGTACATAAATACAGACAAAATAAGTTAGTTATGTTACAACACACATACAAGTGTACACAGAAATTCTCCACAGAATTTCATGAATGCATTTGAACTCCTGCTATATACAACAAGCTGCATGTAGTAAAAGTGTGTAAGAATAACTACCCAAGTCACACAAAAGTAGTCTGTAGCATCCGTAAGGAATTCTGTGTATTTTAAAATGGTAGATATGGAAATCCACACTAAATCAAAGCTCTATTTCAAAGAAATTATTAATTTCCCCAAAATCGAGTCTGTTTTGTTCAAGACGGTAGGCATGGGTGATCTCTCTGTCCTTATCTTAAACCATGGACCCTTCGATATATTTTCTTCCCATCTAGCAAAGAGGGGCGACAGAGTAGCTGTGTGGGCACCTGGCCGCTGGCTAGGGTCAAACCACAACAATATTTCAAAACAAGTCTTACCTTTCTTTTCACAAATTTGTCCCAATAGTTATTTGGAAAAGACCTGAAAAACACAGATAAACAAGATCACAATTTAGACAATCATGAGAAGATAAAGTAGTTACTAATATGTTATAAAACTTGCACACTGCCTTTGTTTCTAAGAGGCTCTTGGTTGTTGTGATCACCAACTAGTCATTTGTGAAGTCACTGGAATGAAAGTTGCCAGATGGCATTCAGCCTACCGTGATAATGTGGCTGGGGAAGAGGGGCTTTTTTTTTGGGTTCTAGAGCAGCTGCACCACACAGTGCCACCAGAGTTGGGACTTTAAATACGTTCCTAAAGGAAAGCTTTCTAGAGACACAGTTCTCTCTTGAACTGATGGTAATATACAATCAGTCTGCTTGCCAGAAGAAATTCATCGCTTTTTTTTTAATTTATTTTTTATTCTTTTACGGAACAGAAATAATTTTAAAGCAAAAACCTGGGAATGCATAAGATTTAAAAGTAATGGCAAACATCAGCAGCAGAGGTGCATGAAATATTTTGTATATCCTTCCTAGAAACATGTCGCTCAGAATTGTTTACCTCAGACAAGCTGGATGATCAACTACATAACTGTGGAAATTGAAGAACAATTCCTTGCAAAACTTTACAGAGACACAGTAGGAAAAGACTCACTGTGTGTTGATTACAAGTCTATCCCACTGTCCCTTAATATCATCTTCTGATGGCTGTTCAGTTATATAGAGTCCATCAAATTCCAATTTTCTCGCGACTTCCTTTTCTCTCTTAAAAATAACCAGTGGAACCTGTAGTTGAAAAAATATCAAGAATTATTTAAAATACATTGACATGTCTGCACATTTTTAAGAAAAGCTGACTGTAATGAAAAATTAATTATGAAAACTGAACAAAGGAAAAATAGTATTTAAAAAAATTAGAGGAGTTGACAATTGCCCAGAATACTGAAAAGGTATAGATGCACAAGGACCAGGTAATTCAGAATCATATTAACTACAGTGAAAAGGGATCCTTCAAATAAAAATAGTTCTTCAGTGCTATGGAGCTACTAGAGCTAGTCAAGTGAAGAGAGCTAAAATAAACTTGTTTAAATGCTTAGAAATTCTAGTTCCAAAATATTATTTCAGATTGTATCTTGATACTCAGAGGTATTAGAGGTTGCCTGTCATTTTTTAAAGAATTAAGGTTTCACAGTAGGAAGCAAAGTGATTTCACAGCAGCGAACAAAGAAAGACTGGTGGCTGTAAAAAGAAAATTCCATAACCCATATTCACATTCCATATACTCGATTTGTACTATGTAGTTCTTTGCCAGCAGCTGACTCACCTGAGCAGTAAAGGTCAGGCTGTACCTGTAACTTTATTTCATTGTCTGAATGACATTCAGAAGTACATTCTGAAAAAGGCAAATGTAACTCGTGGTCCCAGTGGAGTGTTTTTTTCTTTGAAAAAAAATGTCTCTGTTAACTGACAAAAAATAAACCTTAGTCTTATCCAGAATTATTTCACAGGTCCTTATAATTCACCCAGCCTGCACTACCTACCTTGACTGTATTACTAGTCAAGACTAGACATGAGTATACTGAAACAGTAATAAGAAAAATTAAGACTACTCAAGCAACATAGTTCCAGCCTTATTTTCAGACAGCTATTTTGAGAAAAAAAAATCTCATGGATTGCAGAGCAATCTGTAGAAGCAGCAGACTTGCAGCTTGGAAGATTTTTCATTTTTAAACAGTATTTCTCCAAAGACAGAGACTGAAACCATATTTGATCTTTCTTCATGATTTCAGAATTGGAAAGAAGGCAGTTCATTACGGCAAGTTATGATAATAATATCTTTTCCTTCTAGTCAGAGGCTAAATGTAGTTCAAAAAAACAATGTGGGAAAGTAACATAAAACATCATAGTTTAAAAAGAAAAGCTATAACGTAGGAGAAAACGACATTTCAAATGCCAGAAATCTAAGCTTTCATGCTGTATGCCAATCAGTCAAACAGGAAAATGTGGTTTAGTATTTATTGACCTGCAGAGACACTTAAGATAGAGATGAAAAATCAACCATTTAACACAGTAGTATGATGACCACATGCCTCAATTACAAATGTGGTTTGTGTCTTTTTAGCATAGAAAAAGAAGAAAAGAAAAATATCAAGGACCATAAAAAAACCAATACAGAAATGATAACTGTAAGGATAAATGAGCAGCCATACTGAGTCCATTTAATTTAGTACTACCTTGCACTTTGATCTGTAGTTTTTGCCTTGGGAAAAGTGTAAAAATCAGCAAACTACATCCCAGGTATACTCCTCCCAGCTCCAAAAATTTATGGCATTTCATCTTCCTAAACCAGAAGCAGCATTTTGCCAGTAAAGGTGGCATTTTTATTTCTTACATCTCTACGGGAGATCTTCTGCAAGCTATTCCTTTAAAAGATGCCTAAGTTCCTGCCCAAACACTACCACCAGCTCATGTATGGAAAGCAGGCATTGTCTAGTGCCACAACGTGCACCAGCAGTAGTCAAAATGCTGCATGCTTGTTGAATGACAGACTAATAACACAGACACTGTCATCTGTCTTTCTCTGGTCATGCTTTCACAGCTTGTCTAACAGAAACACAAGCAGCTTCTGATACAGGTTACTGCTGTAACTGGCTGGCTGACATGGTAACGGAGCAAATGCTGATCCTATGATCCTGCATCAGCATAGCAAATCAGGCTCTGGGCTGACACTTTCCGAATTCACACATCACCTAACACACAACTTCTTTGTATTCTGTATTCGCTAACAGAATAGTGCTTCTTTACAGTCCTCAACCTGCTTAAGGAAAGTTGCTATGACTTTGTTCTGATTTATACCACTCAATGGATAAAAAACTTGGGAGCTAGAATTAAAAACAGCATTCGTTTTTTCTTACTTTCAAACAGTAATACCCGATGATGCAGAAGAATGAGATGACTGTGTGTAGGATGGCCAAAATCCGCAGAGTGGGCTCCATGTAGCCACTGCTTTCTTCCAGGACATAATGCACTGCGATGACTCTCTCGTCGCTTTCCAGGCTGTTCAACTTTGTACTTTCACCATCAGATACCACAGGAACTTCCTTTTCTTCTGTCACAGCAGAGGTGGACACCTGTTTAAATCACTTCATGTAAATATGGTAGCAGTATTCCTTTGACAGGAGCTTTGCACTACTACAAGCTAAGTAGTATAATCAAAACCAACAATATCAGGGACAATATAATTGCGAGGAAAGATTTTTTTTGTATAAAAATATCCTCAGAAAATACCTCACAGACATGCTTTCATCTTGTTACACCAAACCATTTTTTTTTTAATTGTCTGTCTATGGTAGCAAGTTAAGGGCATGGCCCTCTCAGAAAATAACTCAGCCAACTTCTGTCACTCCCACATGTAGTCTTTATCAGCTTTTCCAGAAACAGATCTGAATCTGAAGACTCTAGAGTTGTATTAACAATACTAAAAGTCATGAGATAGAACATCAGTCATATTATAGGCAGCTTAAGAAGATGTAACTTCTCCTTGTTGTACCCAACTGAACGTTTTTCAGTATACAACTTGAAAAGTAGTATTTTGACAAGTTTACCTTATAGAAAAGCAGGATGAAGTTTATGGCAAAAGCAACAAACAATGCCAACATCCTCATGTTGTAAAAGTTTCGTGCAAAATAATTCTGAAAATAAAACCAGAACATAAATACATTTTGCCTAAGAATAATACAACAATAAATAGAAGAAAAAAAAACACGAAACATTTTGAGTGATTGTACAAATGCTCTCCTACTTCACAGGTGTAATAATGGATAAAGGACCTTTTGATTTAGTACATACATAAAGAGATGAAGGATTTGTAATTGCCTTTTACATCTTTTTCATTATTCTCTCAATACAATTAAGAGACGACAGAACATAGAGACGGGTCCCTTCAACTCCTAACATTTTGTGATTCTGTAACATCACAACGTAACAGTAATGCAACAGTAATGCAGAAATCTGTTCCTTGCACCTAAATATTCTTGTATATGGCAAATTATTAGTTTTACCATGAAACAAAATTGTCTGCATATGTTTATTTTAAATCTTTTTCTATTCCAAAATCCATTGCATTTTTACCAGGTCAGCAAAAAGTTCCTCTGTGACCCAATTACCCGAGTAGAAATATTCTCTTGCCTTATGATGCTGTCAAAAGGATTGCAGAAATCTACCTTTTCCCTTCCTAACAATTCACAAGCCTTTCTAGCACACATTTTGAATGCTTTAACTATCACATGGGAATTAAATTTGCTTGACTGCTACATGATTATCTTAAAATTTGAGTTCAAAAGCAAAACTTAAACATATAATTCCTTAGTAGGATTGTGACTGTAGTTTTGTAATTTTGCCGTTACTTGTGTCAGAAGTAGGCTGTCCCTACACAATTGTCTCTACTGGCTATACAGCAAAAGTGTATTTCTTCTTGCTTTACATTTCACACTAGCCTCACAGAATATGCGTGGAATCTCCCAGCTAATAAAAGCACAGATTTTAAATAGTTCTACAGCAAACTCAGGGATACCATATTTTACTGAGATTCTCAGATTCAGTTATATTATTTTGATTAGTCTTATTTTCCACAGGTTTTGAGAAGTTTCTCAAAGAATAACTTGCTATTTCACAGAACAATTTGTAACATCTTTTGTTATGAGTTTTAAACTTAGCATCGTATTTTAATAAATTCTTTTTATAAAACAGCTTGTTAGTTTCCAAAGTTGTCTGTCAGGGAAAGGTAAATCTTCACAAGCTGATGTGAAAATGTGGGGCATTTCTTTCAAATAAAACTGCATATCTGTTTTCCAGTGACTAACAGGCATTCTGAAGGTCTGGGGTTTGGACAATAATTGTCTTCCTATGATTTAATATATTTACTAAGTTATTTGTGCATTTTTTTTCCTCTAACATTCCAGTTAAACCTTTGCCTTTATGTCCTTTTTATGGATTACAGTAGATAGAAAAATGAGGTTCATCAGATGCAAATTTATCTTTACATTGGTAGAAGAATATAGTGGCACACATCCCTAACAATAGCTAAATACATAGTCTAGAGAACAGCTTACAAGAAGCTTCTGTTGGTATGCAATTATTTTCTTCCAGAATGCTGATTCCTGAACTTCTGGTTCTCCATATCTGTGAGTATGAAGTTGTCTTAATTTCTGCTTCCCTTTGTCTTCCTTGGTTTTCTCTTCTTTTTCTCCATCCTCTCCTCTTAGGATACAAACAAAGACAAAATAATACGTCAAGTTAGTAACACTGCTAAATAAGAAAATTAAAACCATACCCTGAAAGAGGCCATTGCATCTTTTCAGGAGCCTCAAGTAGTCATTGCACAGGAAGAGGATACATATTCCTCTTCAGCCCAAAGCACTGAAAGGGTGACAGTCTGGTTAAGCCTACAGATAACCAAGCTTTCTAGTTTGGCACCTCAAAATGAGGATGCTAACCAACAGGGGCAGGTAATCAAGAATCTGCCAACCCTATTAGCTAAAGGTCTTGCTTCGTAACTGTGCAGCTAATACTTGAGCTGACAAATGTCCATAAGCTAACAGTTGTTATGTCTTTAAGACTGCCTATATGCCTAAATGCTCCCCTCCAACCTCACACACTGTAACTATCTGGGTCCCGTAAAGGTTGCAGAAGACTCTAATTCTCTAGCATTTGCAATCCAAACATCGAATTTTAAGTTTGGCATTTCTGCCCACCTGAAGCATTCATAAGTGCCCATCTCAGGAGGAGATAGGAATAAGAAAGCTTGACAGCATTCAATGTGTGGTTATCACCATGTTGCCCAATTATAGAAAGTCAGTTAGTGGGCTGCCTTTTCCAAACACATGATCTAAGGAATTGTGAATTATCTCAGAAGTTAATTTGACCTGACAGTATGATAGATGAAAGGATCACAAAGTCCACTTGAAACCAAAACAGAGTGAGAGTCAACGTATAAGTTACATTATTAATTTCTTTGTACTTATCTACAAACCGAACAACCGATGTCCTAAGCTGCTTCTCTTACTAGAATACAATCAATAAACTGTCACTTGGAAGTTCACTTGAAAGTTTGTCTTATGTTAGGAGTGGCTTCAGGGCAGCTAATAGTACCAGGCACTGCATCCCTCACAGGTATCACTGCAACTAACACAGTCAAGTGAAGAAACCTTCAAAAGTCAGTAAGACTCTCCTTCATGAAGTTATACTCGCTGAGTTACAAATTTTCTGTACTTATTAGGAAGAATAGGTTTCGTTATCGGCAAATGTTTGTCATCCCAGGAGAGCAATAAGGAAAGAACTTGAGAAAAAGGGACCCACTTAGAATTTTGACTGTGACAGGTCAGCTACAGGAACTGTACTTGTATTAGAACTGTGCATTTATGAGGAACCATAAAATATGGGGATGGAATGACATATTTTTTACTGGTTAAAACCAAGCACTATGTTTTGCTTTCCACTATTTCTATTCTGAGCTAATCTAACTAACATAAGTTTTTAATGTATCCTAAAAAGATTAAAATTTTTATTTATCAAATGCTAACACTTTTTCCTCATACAGATGTGAGAGTATCCAGCAATTAAGTCAAATTACATTGGGACATTAAGGTTTTGCAAAAGGTCATAGCAAATGGGAGAGACAAAACACATTCAGTCTCTGCCACTGATTGATAAGAAGTCTCTGGAACCCAGGTGCTCTTACAATTTTTCCAAGAGAAAAATTCTAAAAAAACCTGAAGAGACATTACATAGTATGCTGCTGGAAGAGGAAAATTCATAAATACTATTTACATGTCACTTCCTTGCAAACGTGCACAGATCGGGAGGATGGTTTTCTGAGCTCCCCAGTTCAAGAAGGACAGGGAACTGCTGGAGAGGGTACAGAAAAGGGCTACAAAGATGATGAGGGGACTAGAACACCTCTCTTGCAAAGAAAGGCTGAGGGACTTGGAGCCCTGAAGAAGAGAAGACTGAGAGGGGATCTTATCAATGTTTGTAAATACTTAAAGGGTGGATGTCTGGAGGATGGGGCCAGTCTTTTTTCAGTGGTGCCCTGTGATAGGACAAGAGGTAATGGGCACAAACCTGAACACAGGAAGTTCCATCTAAACGTAAGTAGGAACTTCTGTACTTTGAGGGAACAGGCTGCCCAGAGAGGTGGTGGAGTCTCCATCTGTAGAGAAATTCAAAATCCACCTGGATGCCATCATCCTGTGTGACCTGCTCTAGGTGAACCTACTCTGGCAGGGACATTGGACTAGATGATCTCCAGAGGACTGTTCCAACCCATAACATTCTGTGATTCTCTGATGGCTAAAAAAATTCCTAACTGTGGAATGTGAATGGACACAAAACTAAAGGCAAAAATGTAAGTATAAATAAAGCTGTTTTTTCAGTGAAACAAAACACATTTCACAGGATTAGAGGTTAAAGCAATACATACTCTGCTTTTTCAGGTTCAGATTTTGTGTCCTCTTTCTCTTCCTTTTCATCTTCTTTCACTTGCTCCTACAGAAAGTCAAAATAAAAAAAGTGTCTAAACTCTATTATAGAGTTAGTTAAAAGTATATATAGAGTACAGAAAGTTAGACATTTCTTTTAAAACAATTAAACCTCTGAGAAGATGATCCTTCCACTTATATTAATGAAGAAACATTTTAACACTAAATTAAATGCAAACCAAAACACCTTGTACTGAGAGACGGCTGTGGGAAGGCAAGTTTATGACGTCAGATAGGGTAAATAGGTCACAAAACCCTGAAAAACAGTGATGCACGCTATGAATATATGAAAGAGAGAAATATGCAGAAGAAATTAAAGATAGTTACCTGTATTTTTTCCTGCATCTGAGGCACTGGAGTTAAGGAGGGAGTGCTCAGTAAATCACTCAAACCAGCATTTGGATTGTGAGGGATCAATTTATACTGTCCACCTTCTCGTTTCAAATCCAAACCAAATATATCTGAGAGTAGATCACTCTCATCTGATAAAGTTCTCAGATCTGTCAGGTCTTCTGTAGGCAATGGAGCTTCTGTTGGCTTTCTCTCTCCCTCTTCTCCTTCCCCGCGCACCTCATCCTGAGTGGGATCTGGCATATTAGCTAATAGTTCAGCCACCTTGATTTTCTTTGCTCCTTCTACTAGGCTTCCTCCAAGCAGCAAACTGCAAATGATGCGAAAGAAGCCCCGGATGACACTACAAGCAAAATGTAGTAAGCCCACCAAAATGCTCCAATAAGATGAAAACAAAGCCATGATCATGTCCTTCATGGTCATTTTCTTCACTTTTTTCATCTGTTTCTTCAGGCTCTTCATGCTGAGCATTTTCATAAGAGTCATTAAATTATACTTGAGAGCTACTAATGCTGACTTCATGGTCATGAGAGAGAAGAAACCCATTCTAGGATCCTGTTCCTCAGGCTTATCTTTCTCATTTTCCTCTTTATTTGCTGACCTTTCATTCAGGTCTGACTCAGAGATCTGGGCAGCTAGTTGCATTTCAAAGATGGTATCCTCACAGAAATTAACAAAAAGCTCCATCTTTTCTTTCTCCCCACCTTCATTTACAACATCAAATATAAATTGTCTCTTTGACTCTTTTACCTGAGGTTTCTCCCACTGAGTGCGACTTGACTCACTTATTTCAAAATAAACTCGTTCAATGCGCTTCGCACTGCCCATGATTTCTATGCGTCCAAGGAAAGGCTGAAAGTAATTCAGCACACTCTCTGACAGTTCAAGAAAAGTCTGCAAGCGGGTGTCATGGGGCATGTGTTCTGACAGGTTGGTCAGGAGAACAGCAACATTGAAACCAATGTCTTTGGCAGGTTCATGGAATCGTTTCACAAACTCCTCATAGTCCAGAGTCTCATTCTCATCTGTTTCAGCACATGATAGCAGAAATTCAGTTTCAGACTGGGTGTAATGCTTATGGCTTTCCATTGCCTTGTGAAAATCCCTCTTGGAAATTACCCCTTTTCCATCAGGATCATATTCTTTGAATGCATCAGAGGAAGTCAAATCCTTCAATTTTAAGAACATATCAAAAAACTTCAGAATCATCTCCACATTGTTGGATGATTCCACAAGCATATCGACCATCTGCTTGCCAATAGTTCCATTCACAACATTACCTAGATGTGATGACATGAAGTTAGAGATACTGATGTCAGCAAATATTTTGACAAAGAAAAGTGTATAATAATGACTAGTGAAGCAAAAAAACAGTAAGAATGATAAACTACTGGCTAACACAACCACAGGAGAAATCAAGGTGTAAAATCAGAAATCTTTTATTAACAACAGTAAGACTTGGAAAAGATGTAAGTGACTAAGCATTTGCCATTAAAGAAAGGAAGAACTAATAAACCCTGCAGAGAAACATCTGTAACATTTAATATAGCACTAAACACGAGGCAGCATACTATGAATTTTGCTATAGCACAACAAAGACAGAAGTAGTGCCACATTAGTTAGGATGAGTAGCTCAGTAGGTTACTCATGAAGCACAGCCTACAATACTACGAATTTATTTCCATCTTAGTGACCTTCTACAAGGAAAGCAGCAGCATCAATGACTGTTACAGTGCAATCTATGCTGCATTTACAGCTCTCTCAGGTCCCAAGAAAATATACAGAGTCGAATACATCTAATAAGCAAAAAGTAACACAGCTCTTTAGACTACCTGTGTGCATGTCTGACTAGTCTAGTACTGGAAGCACTAATACAATATCATAGAGGAGCTAAAGAGGTAGTATTATTTCTTGACAATCATCACATTCTCTGGGGAACCATAATTTCAGGCATCAGCTAAAGGTTTTACTAAAATGACCAATACATGGTTCAGTTCCTAGAACTCAGGATTTTAACTTCAATAGTCAAAATACCTTTCACTCAAGCCAAAAGAAAAAGGCAGCTTCGTGGAAACAAAGTAAAAATTCTGCCAGATCTGAATTTTATACGATTCTGACATTCAGAATAATATAAACTATATCAGCTATACTATATATATCTCCCATTCACTTTAAGACCCAACAACTCGTTTCACAATTGAGATATGAAAATTAAGAACCAAAAGGAAAATGAAGTTTTTTTGTCCCACAGGAAGAAAATCACAAAGGTAAAAACTTTGCTAGAATAACTGTGAAAGAGGCTTTTGAATTAAGGTTTTATTACCTTCCAGCATAGACAGCAACATGACAACCATATCCTTCTGAAGATCCATTAACTCCTTCAGTAATTCAATTTGACTGGAATCCTAAATAATGAACACAATATATATAATATCTACTGACTTCTTAAACATTTATGTATGTGCATGCATATTTCACCCTGTAAAAATGAGACTTGGAAATGAAGAAGCTTGTGTCAAAACTGGTAATACAGTGAAAATATATTTAATTGCTGGATTTTGTACAAGATAAACATTTACACGACCATCTGTTTAGAAGACAATAATTTAATAAAGACAAAGTGGACACTGAAGGTGATGACAAAATTTAAAGCAATAACTAGGTATTGTTAAGCTCACAGATTATACCTTTGTGATGTTTCATGTCAGGTAAAATATTGTCACTGTAGGTGTAACCAAGCTTACAGCTAGAGACTTGCAGAAACTTGTAAAAGACAGTTAAAAATGACAGCAGCACATAGAGCTCGAAGTGTAACGATTCAAAGCGAGTGATTCCATTAAGGGCCACTGAATTTTTGGTGGCAGAAAGAAAATTTGAAATAAAATTTCAAAACATTTATTAATAAAATTCCATTTGTATATGCCTAAATAGACATGATACTGATTCATTTAGCCATCTTTTATCTCATTTGGCTTATCAAGTTTACTGTTTCTTCCTCAGTGATACATTGTTGCATCATGCCATTGACGAGGGATACTTGAGAATTGCTAGACTTCAGTGTTTAGTACAACAAACTCATCAAGGTACATTATAGAATTTTGGATCCTGAACTGAAAACAGCACTAAAGTCAGATTTCTAATTAATTTGTATTGTAAATTTTAATTATAAATCTTCTTACTTCAAAAGCTTTTTACAACCTGGATTATCTTTATTAATTTTACTTCTTCTGCCTCAGAGAGATTTCTTAAGAATTGTTAACAGTATCACCTTGTTGCTTCCCAGTACAAGACTGGAGAAGGAAAACACAATAAAAACCCACAAAAAACAAGCCAAACAAAGAAGAGATATAGTTTTGTTCCCATTTAAAACTTATTTCAAATATTCTCCAAAAGTGCTCTGGAAACTCCCAATTTAAAACAAAAACTAAATATATAGTCTAGGCAGGTCTCTCTCACAGAAAAAAAAGCCATATAGCTATTCTTCATAAATCCATTTAGTCATGCTCTACACCTTTGTAAACTGCTATTTCAATAGAATCTGAAAAGTTTATTACTATATTCTTGCCATAAATATAAATTATCAAAAATCTCATGTCTATTTTTTTTTCCCAAGTCTCTGCTGGCCCCTTAAAGGAGCTCCCTATAGCCAAGAGCTTGAGCTCCACACAAGGGGAACACACCATCATCATTTATCATACATTTGGAGTGTGCTGCCAGTAACTAAGATACTGCTTTCCATATTGCTTTAGTGGTACAGGAAGAAAGCACAGTAGCCACCACTGTGGCCTACTCAAACATTGACTGCTTTTTGATTCCAAAATGAGGACATTATCTACAGGCACTTATAAATACACTTCAGTAGAAATTCAATGCATCACTTTTGAGAAATAGATTTTACAGTGATGCCATTTGCTAGAAGACCTCTAATTAGCAATGAAGAATGAGAAGCATACCTATAGCACAAAGTCTACAAATCTAAGCAGTCAGCCTACATACATTCAGCCATAAAATCTCAAGGGCAGGGTGAAAAATTGCTTGAGCAAGGCTACTTTAATTTATGCAAAGAATACTTCCATTGATACATATGGAGCCAAATAATGAAATCTAAAAGCCCCAGAGACTTCACAATGTTCCTTAACAACAACTAAAACCTTTAGAAGCTTATGACACTTTTCTCCAAGAATGTCAAATTATGTACAAAATTTAGAATCACTAAATGCAATTAAGATGTGTAATTCTTTTAAAAAGGTAAGAAGGTAAAAATGCATGGACTAAGGATAAGATTCTTTTCACCAAATTTTAAACCCCAAAAGAGCTGTCTAAGCCAGTCCCCTACACTAGTTTACAAAATGAGTAATGACATCCTAAAGCAATTCATTCATTCTAGGTCGGATTACACCCTTCCTCTACTAAGAATACAAAAGGTTTAGATGAAAATGTGCAGAACTAGAGTTCAATGCAAGACACATAATGTATAACCTGAAGATAGGTCATACATAAGCTCATACGAAATTTCAGAAAACACTGTTGACAGAACTCTGGTATGAAAGAGAGGAACTATTTAGCTCTTTCTGCATATAAGTGACATGATTCATTTGCAGCTTGATCTAATTGGCTCCATGTCTGTGGCCGATAATCCAGTTACAGGCCTGCTATTCACACCCACTGCAATTCCATAATTTACTCCCTCAGCTCTATTGTATCCTATCACCTCTGTTTTTTATGTTCCATCACATTTCCCCGATTAACCGTTGTTACTAGTGACTCAAACATATTAACAAATCTATTTATCTTTTACAAAATAGTTAGTAACTCAGAAAAAAAGTAAACCAAAAATATACCTGAGACAGCTTCATTTGCATGTGGGCAAACACATGAAGAAAACCCACTACTGCATCCCATAGCCTGCTGTGTGCCAGACTTTGCTGGTTCCCAGTACATGGCCCCTATTGTTCAGGCAACGATAACAATAAAACACACAAAAACAAAGAAAGAAAAGCAGAATTTATTTGCAAGAAACTCAATAAAACCAGGAAGACGGAAATACAGGCCGTGCATAGCTTGTGGCTCTTCTTTAGAAAAATTAATCACGTATATAATTGTTTACTTAAAAGCACCAACTGTAAGCAATGCCTATTTCTAATAATCCAAATTTACTAATCTGGAAAGACAAAAAGTATATCTGCTTGCAACTTTAAACTTCAAATGCTAACAGCGTAAAAATCTTCAAACTGATTCTTCCCTATGTATTTTTGTAAAACACGAATAATTTTACAAAAGGCTAGTGCAAAATTGGCATAAGGGATTAGGTAAGTTTTTTCCCAAGCATATTCTAGCTGTTGTAGAACATAGTGCTAAAGAATATTCTTCAAAAAAAATCCAACTTTTGAAGCCTCAAAGGGTAACAAATAAAATCTTCACCAGCTAACAATGCTACTTGTGATTTGCCAGATACGTATACATTAAATATATGTATACACATGTATATAAGCTGCCTCTAGCCATATTTATTCAATCATATTCTATCACATCTCATCTTCATGAACTGTAAAATATTATTTTCAGAATAATTTTCATTTGAATGAAAACAATATATCAGACAATAGTCTAATGAGATTCTAACATGCGTATATGTAGAAATAAAGTGTAACATTGCTGACTAATTTACATGAGAAAATAATTAAGAACTAAATCACACTGAATTCCTAACATATCATGGACAAAATTCTACACTGTTATTTTGACAGAATTGATCCCAATCTCATTTATTGCAGAGTCTAGCTCAGGTACATCTCTACAATTCTCAAATGCAACGTGTGACTTCATTATTTCAAATACAGCCCTCTCTTAAAACATCCTTACTTCTAACAAAAAATATAAACTAATGTTCTTGACTAAATAGCATGTATGTTTTGCACTGACCTTAGTTTCTCACTGAATTAAAAGTGAAGACTTTAAAGT